ATATAAATAAAATGAATTGAATTGTATATCACCTTTCAAAACACAGTTACATAGTGCTTTACATCACATAATAAAATTAAAACACCTAAAATAAATATCTCAAATAAAAGTATAAAACAGGCAAAAATCAACATTTAAAGCCAACCTATAATATGTTTTTAAAGCGTTTTAAAAGACAACATTGAAGAGGCTTGTCAGAAGTTCAGTGGCAGTGCATTCCATAAAAGAGGAGCCCTAATGGAAAAAGCTTGATAAATCTCTGTCTTCAATCTTGCCTTGGGTAATTAGATTGGGTAAATCAGATCCAATCATTTTAAACTTCAACAGAGTCCACACCTCCAGCAAGAAATTGCATCTCAATAGCTGACGTTCCAGACCCTCTGWACAAARCAAAGCACAGAACAAGGGGCTGGATTTTACCAGGCTAGATAGATGATAAAACCAGGAACTAAATTTTGTTCCACCTCATGAAGTGAAAGACAATAATGCCAATAAAACTTCTTTGATGTGCATTCCTCTGAGGATTGGTCAAAAGGATTCGCTGAATCGGATCAGTCTGGTTATTATTCAGGAGAGAAGGAAGAGGAGACAAAGAGYGGAGAGATCCGTGTAGATAGAGGGGAGGGATCCTCCTGGTGTGGTTATTTATAGAAAACCAAAGGGGGGCTTTAAACCTCCTACAGCCCTGCGTGCAGAAACAGCTTGAGCATTTCTTTCCTCTGCAACCCCTCTTTCACTTCCTCGGCTGCTGAAACTGATAACAGCCTTGCATACGAATCAGAGGGTGGGGTCCTGTTTAGAGACGCCCAAAATCTGCAGAGAYGCAGCATACATTTGGTGTCTTCAGCTAATAAAATGTGCAACTCAGGTTTTTGTTCTGCTCTTTACAGTTTTTTTCAATAAAAAAGCACAAACAATAATCAGCACATAAACTAAACTAAACTAAACTAAACTAAACTAAACTAAACTAAACTAAATTAAGCTAAACTAAAGTTAGCTCAAAGGCTAATTTTCTTTAAGTGAACTGGTACCCAGAATTTAAATCAATATAAAGCAAATAAATAAATAAACATTACAGCATCTCCATCTTCTGCAGCTCATCTGTAGTCGGGTCAGGAGAGACGCCCAGACCTCCCTCTCTCTGGTTCTTTGAGTTATGAAACAAACCTTCATGACCACAGGTGAGGTTTGGCTTTGTTCTGGTTCCTGATGCTCAAGACCATCAAAGCATTCTGGTGCTGTTCAGCGTCAGAAAGCTTGGTTTCAGTCCTCCAACAGGATAATGACCCAAAAACTAAAAACACCCAARAATGGCTCAGAACCAAACACCGGACAATATGACTAAGTCACAATATAGCGGATGAGAGGAAAACGTAAACACAGCTTGARGTTTCAATTCTGACCAGACTAACAAGCTAATGGCTAATCTGAGCAGAGCAAAGACCAAATCTGATCGGTCTAATATTCTGATTGAAATAATCTGGCTCTCATGTGTTTGTTCCTCCTGGCTCCTTCATTAGGAGCCGAAGGTWTTATATATTTTTATAAATGAATCTGCAGCAGCTCTGTGGTTGTCAGAGCTGAACCCAGTGACGACTAATTGGTTCCCTCAGGAATCTGTCAGTAAGGGTGGAAAACATGTTCTCATATGAAGAGCCAAGGCTCTAACATGAAGAGGAGAAAACAGCTCTCCTGTTTTAATGTCTGCTCCTGCAGCTTAGTTATGAATATTTTGTTCAGTGTATAGTATTCAGTTCTGCAGCTAAAAGTAGCTGAAAGGAAGCATTTGTGCACAGTTTACAGTTTATTCTGCTTGAAAAGTAAAAGAGATTGTTGGGCCAAGCATAAATGTGTCTAAACTACTTTAAAAACTTACATTTCAGTGCTTTGGCTACTTGTTCTAGCTTTCAGCTAGACTTTTACAACTTGGAGCTTTAAATAACCCTTTCTTAACTCAAGGTACGAAAAATACTGAAAGCTAAAAGTAGACATATGCTGAATAAAAGAAGGAAAAGGTTAAAATTWGCCAAACAATAACTAAAGAAAACAAAAAGTTAAATGTAGGAAAAGCTACCTAAAAGTAGCAAAAGATAAAACTAGCTAAATTGAAAAGATTAGCAACTTACTAGCTAACAGCTTAAAGTAGCTGCTAGTTAAAAGTAGAAGAATATTAATTAAGCCTTAGTTAATGTTTTTCTTCTGATGGTGGATATGTGATGTCACTAGGGGGGCTAAAAGTAGACAGCTGTTTTTGTTCTCTGTGGTCGATAGTTGCATTCAATTTTCTCCAAAAGTAAATAAGCTGTAGACGTACATCCAAGCATTATCCCACAAACAATTCTTTCTCCAAAAGTGTGTGTGTGTGTGTGTGTGGGGGGGGGGGGGKGATGCTCCACAGAAGAAAATTGAGAACCAATAAAGGGAGTAAATGTTCTAAATGTTCTGTGTTGTTTTCAAAAATTAAACAAGCGCAAACAGTGAAACCCTGAAGTGMAAGCATGTTGACTTTAGTTTTAAGAGCTGGTGTTTATTCAGGCAGATCAGCAGGGTGGGACACGTTTTAAACCTGTCAATTAGGGTTGGGCAATATTGGCAAAACAATTATCACGATTAAATGTGGTATGTAGCCGATAACAATTAATTAGATGATTAATCCCTTGGAGTSCTTGAACACCTTTTTGTCCTGGTCACATGACCAATTTAGTGGGAAAGATTTGCTCTTCGTAAAAATCTGTTCCAAATTGTGTCAAAATTACAGACTTAGGCTATACATCAAATTTTAAATTGTGTTGATAGATAAATAAATTACAGATTTTTTTTTTTAATGTTCGTCATATTTGAAGCGGAGATTAATCGTATTAATCGTCAAATGGTAAACGGTACTGAACTTATAGAGCGCTTTTCAAGTCCCTCCAAACCCCAAAGCGCTTTACACCAGACAATTAACCCATTCACACTCACATTCACACACTGATGCCAAAAAGTAATCGATTAATGTTTTTCTGACGATTAACTGCACAAGATACGATTTTGCCCAACCCTACTGTCAATCAAATAAACCACCCAACAGACCTGTGTCTGCTGATTCAGTCTGTTACAATACTTCCTGTGAGATCACCAAAACAAAAGCCTTTAAGCTTTACTCACTGAAAGCAGCGATGGCCAGGACGATGGTGACCACGATGGAYGCCCAGGACACCCACAGGGCTTTCTTCCTGTAGCTCTGGGCTTCGTGAGGCTTGAGACGCATACTGCTCTCCAGTAGACCTACAGACAAGTGGCAGGGCAAAAAAGACTCATGGTATTAAAAACATGATTAGGTCAGGCAATGCTTGACTCGTCTATGTCAATGCAACGCTCAACCCACCAACATCCATGTAGCACTCAACATGTCTAAGTCAATACAATGCACAACCCACCAACATCCAGGCAACACTGAACTTTAACTAGATGCAACGTTTGACCCATTTACATCCAAGCAACGTTTGACCTACCTACACCCAGGCAACACTTGACCCTTCTACATCTAGGCAATGCTCGACCCACCTATATCAATGTAACTCTTGACCCGCCTACAAGGCAATGCTCAACCTGTCTATGTCCAGAAAATGCTCAACTCGCCCTTGTCCAGGTAAGGCTGGACCACCTATGTCCAGGCAACACTAGATCCATCTATGTCAAAGCATTGATCAACCCGTCTACATGATAGAGTCAGACACTTCTACAAGTTCAAGAATCTTTATTACCCCCAAGGGGCAATTTGTTGCACRGCCAGTAGACATAAAAACAACAAAACAAAAACATTAATGCACAAACACASAAAAATCACAGAYGTTCATTARGAWATTGAACTGCTGCTGGGATAAATGATAAATGATATCGAGAACTGAGTTGGGTTTGAATTAGGACAAAGTGCTTTGTGCTGAGAACTGGACAATGTAAAAACAACAAAAACAATCTTAGGTCTCTGTACAGAAACATTCACGTACATTATAAACTGCAGWTTAGTAAAAGCTATTTGTCTAAGGAAGCAGATCGTGTCGAAACTTCATCTGAATCTCACGAGCAGCTCGGGGCACTCAAACAGAGAATATTCTTAGTCACATACTGAAATATACTTACATATACTCACATACTTATATATGCAATACATACTTATATATGCAATRCATACTTATATATGCAATACATACTTATATATGCAATACATAGTTATATATGCAATACATACTTATATATGCAATATTACATGATCCTGTAAGATGTTGCATGATGAGTTACACCAAGTGTGTTGTGAATGACTCAATTAGGCTACCACACCAATTTCCTTCTCGTTATTGTCTCAATTTTGTGCTTTTTAGGGTCAGTTGTTTGGTTTTTTTAGTTTTTAAAACCTGGTTACTACTGTAAAGGTCTGAAGAACAATTCTGTTTATTTTTATTTTATTTTTAGGACATGTTTAAAAAGCTAACAAAGGAAATCCATGTCAGTGGAGTACTTTAAGTAATAAATGTGTTTTGTTATTAAAACAATTACTTTTCCTAATRAAGTTATTTACCTGAAGCAGTTGAACACACCTGAACCCTGATGAGGAGCATCACTTACCTCGGTCCTCTATGCTCTCTGTGATCTCCATCTCCTGGTCCATCTTCAAGCCCTCTCCCKGACTTCCCGTGCTCTCCTCCTGCGGCTGCTGGGGCGACTCCTCCGGCTCACACCGCTCGTTCACCGCGCCGACGGCCGGCTCCGGGACAGAGTCTCGCGGTGAGAAGTCCGTCATCTTCTCGGCCCCGCGGAGGCGCTCCAAGAATGTCACACCTGGACGAGAGGAGCCGAAGGTTCGAGCAGAGCCGCAGACAGTGTAGGGGGGATGGAGAAAGTCTTCACGCTGCGAGAGGAGACACACCGGAAGTCACAGAATGTGGCCTTCAAAATAAAACTCCATGCAGGACGTCTGTGAAATTGGAGTTTTGGATGGTTTCCTTGAACTTGTAAAGACATAGTTTTATATCAGTATGTATATATATA